CTCTCTCTCTCTCTCTCTCTCTCTCTCTCTCTCTCTCTCTCTCTCTCTCTCACTCTTTCGTACCCTGGGCCTCGTGCACGCGTGCTCACACCCATAGTACAGACATTTCATGAGAATATTTTGCAGTACTGGCAGAAGATTCAAAAATTTTTTTCATAAAGAAACATTCAATGCAAGAGATAACAGTGAAGCCAGTTCAAGGAGCATGAAGATATTAGTACTTTACATTGATGAAAAATAATAATTAATGACATTTAGTCTTCTCGAAGATAAAAAATATTACATCGGCCATTGCAAGAGTCACTAATATTTTATGATTTGTAGTCTAACTGTTTATTTATATGATGTGATTAAATCGAGAATGTTCTTGTGGTCACACGTGCTGCTGCCGAAAAATCTTGGAATTGCTTCAGAGTCACAATGCATGTAATAATTTGTCGTCTACTGTGTCTCTGGCATGGTTCATACGTTGGTTGGTTGTTATTTCACAGATGTCAAGCTACATCTTATGACTGTTGTATATTTTATATGTATTGAAGCCGCCGGCAATTGTTTCGGCTAAGGAGACCTCTATCATGCAATGCCTTTACTAAAACAATCGAGAATGTCTTTGATTTCTTTTTCAACACCAGTAATAAAAAGTGGATTCTGGAGTCAAGTCTTGTGGGTTTGCCATGTTGATCGGTTGTATCGTAGTATCCATCGGCTTACACGAAGGTCTCGCCAGGGTGTTTTTTATACCTCAAATATCATAACCATTTGCCTCTTGTCCGTGCCTTTCTGCTGACACTGTTGTTATTGCTGTTTTGTAATGTTGTTGTTTTTTGCACGGTTTTGAAAATGAAAACGTTATTATGTTTATTTTGGGGGATTTTTGTTTTGGGCAGCATGTCATCCTAATGCAGTCGTGTTTTCTGCAATGTATCATCTTGTGGTTCGTAATTGCCATACCGCTGTAGCTCCTCATAGTAAATGGCCAGCTTAAACTGCTTGTCCTCGGCCACGTAGGGCACAATGTAGCGCGGCACCAGCCCGTCTTTGAGGTTGGAGATGGTGATCTCCGTGGCGCGGTTCTTGGGCTGCTCCACCTCCAGCAGGCCCCGCGAGTGTGTGCCGTTAGTGAAAATGGCGGAGAACTTGAACTTCCCCGCCACGTCGTAGGAGTTGAGGTAGGTGAGTCTCAGGTTGGCCCGTGCATTGTCCGCCGTGAGCTTGGAGAGCTTCTTGCTGGACAGGTCGTAGTAGTGCTTGAAGTCCGTCCTCTCCTCGTCGTTGGTGGCGTGCTTGACGAAGATGAAGGAAAACTGCTCGTCCTTGTCGTGGTAGACGACCGTTTGCGAGATCGGGTAGAACTTCTTCTCGTAGTACATCTGCACGAGTTTCTCGTAAGGCTCCGGCAGGTGTCCCGTGCCGTACTTCATCTGCGTGTCCACGGAGAAGGCGTCGGGTCGGAAGACAGCGGCGAAGGAGGCCGGGTCCCCCTCATGCGAGCGACTCTTGTAACTGTGCAGCTGAGTGAGGTTGTAGCCCATCTCCTCCAGCTGTAGTTTCCGTTTGAGCAGCGAGCGGTGCGTCAGGCCGTGCTGGAAGATGTAGTCCACGGACGCGCGCTTGGGCCTGGAGGCACGCCGGCTGACCAGCAGGAAGTAGGTGTGGCCGTGCAGGCTGTAGGAGGTGAACCACTGCAGGTCGAACCCTTCGTCCCGAACCGCCGCCACGTAGGCGCTCAGGTGGTGCTCGTCCAGCCGATATCTGCGCGAGACGAGAGAAAACGTTTTGAAAATCTAAACTGAACTACTACAGTCTCTTGCACACACACGTTGAACTTACAAAGAGCGAACAGATTTTCTGGCCCCAAATTTTTCTTGTAAATGTACATAAATAGTATTTTCTGTGTATTTAAAACATGTACACAGTGTAGTTTGTACATTACGAAAAGATTCCAGTGTCCCCCTAGTTTTGCTATGTGCGTGAAACTGTATATGTATACGAATTTGGTTTCCAGCAATACAATGACATAAAATCTAACGACCCAACGCGTAGTGCTCAATGTTAAGACGTTTTGGAATGTAGCGTCCGAAAAAACAACAACGTCCAAATACAAAAAATCCTCAAACAAACAACAACCAAAAAAATTAACGTAGTCGCACCTGATGCAGTATTCCGGGGCGTGTCGCTGCAGCTTCCAGGGTTCCCACATTGGGTGTTTGTGCAGCTCGGAGAGGTCGTAGAGGAACCTGTTCTCCCCTCCGTCTACCTCTCCCTCCTCTCCATCTCCCTCTCCCTCCCGGCCCGTCCCCAGCAGGGCCATGAGCTCGCGCGTGTAGTGACGTATGTGGTTGATGTTCTTGTCGTAGAGCATGACGACCCACGTGTCGGGCAGCCCGGCGTGCTTGGTGCCCGGGTAAGGGTTCAGGTCGTGGTACAGCACCAGGTCGTCGGTGTGTTGGTCAGCGTCCTGCCACAGGGCGCCGCGGGTGTTGGTGCGGAAACCGGCGCAGTGCCACGAGTCGTTGTGCTGTGGGGAGGAAAAGTAAAGGCTTTTTTTTTTGGTTTTTGTTTATTTTTTAAAGGGGGA